GACAGACAGACAGACAGACACACACACACACGTATTATATATTACACACATATACATATACAGTGCCCTCCAACACTCTAAAAGTGCTGTCCTTTTTATTTGGTAATACATCCATGTTTGTAGAAACACCCAATAATAAAATGTGACATTCTGTAGTTTTGTCTCATATTCATCTTTTAATCATATTTACAGATTTCTGGACTCCACAGCAAACAGAACAATTTGGTCTTTACTGTCCCAATACTTATGGAGGGCACTGTACATAAACCAAAATGCCTTCATATTTTACCAATGACTCTGGTAACTGAAAATGCGTCTGACACCACTTACTCTTTGATCTCACTTTTGATTAAAAAAAAAATAATTTAAATATATATATATTTAAAAAATATTTTTAACATTTTAAAAAATGCAATAAGAGCTTTACTGTCATATGTACTAGTACAATGAAATTCTTACTTTGTTTACTCCTCACGAGAATGACAGGGTAGAAGGGGAACAAACATAACTTACTAGGATGATACAAATTACATAAAAATATAAAATATACAATAAAGTATAAACCAGAAAGAATAAATAATAATAGCATAAAAAAGAAAGTAATTAAAAAAAAGAAAAAGAGAAAGGAAAATACAATAAATATACAATGAAGAACAATACAATATTAAAAAAGCAACAATTAAGTTACCTTCAACAAACGATAAAATTCATTAAAATACCTGTATATAATTATATATATATTATATATAATTGTCCCACCCAAATTCTAACGCATTTAGTAAAATTCAAATGCTTCATAACCCTGCACATCAATACTGATTATTTTAATGAATTTGCCACATTAGCATCATAAAAATATGTAAATTAAAAATATATTATTTGCATGTAATTATAAGCTCTCTACTCAACAAGTGCTCTTTGGTTGAAAAACCCTGATTTGGGGCATTTCCTCAAATATTTAAAAGTGTTTTTCACTCTTAAAACCCTGCAATGTGAACATGACTATAATCTCAAAAGATAACAGGCAAAGCATGCAAAAAAATTATGTACTGCATGATGCTGAAATATGAGACTTGATGTTGAGTTTGTCCTCCAGTAGGTGGCAGTATGACGACAAAAATACATTCAGCATTTAAAAGTCACAATCTGTGGTTTGAAACAAAGCATTGCTGTGTCCGCACAGCCTTGACATTTCCTGTTTTTTCCATAGCATCTGTTTTTCACACGAGTGAGTCATACATCATGCACATTAACCTTTATACTTTAATCCTTTTTTTTATGAAGCATATTTAGCTCGCAATCATTTCTCTTCCCAACTGTTTAGCACATTCACTGGAATTGTTAACATTAGGCGAATGTTATACAGCAATTGAGAAAGTTGTTTACATGATCACTTGAAGTGCTTCTGTGGCCTAAATCAAACTATTTACATCAGGGAAAGGCTGGGGAAAACTTCAGTGTAAAATAAGGCCAAGTTTTCTTTCATTGCACAAACAGTGCAATAAATAACAACACTGCAAACCTATGTAGGAGCATCATGCACAAATGGGCCCCAGGACCACAAAAACGGTCATTAGGGTCAATTTTTGGAAACTGATATTAATACATCATCTGAAAGCTGAAAAAATAAGTTTGTTAGGATAGGACAATATTTGGCTGAGATACAACTATTTGAAAATCTGGAATCTGAGGGTGCAAAAAAATCTAAATATTGAGAAAATCGCCTTTAAAGTTGTCCAAATTAAGTTCTTAGCAATGCATATCACTAATCAAAAATTAAGTTTTGATATATTTACGGTAGGAAATGTACAAAATATCTTCATGGAACATGATCTATACTTAATATCCTAATGATTTTTGGCACAAAAGAAAAATCAATCATTTTGACCATACAATGTATTTATGGCTATTGCTACAAATATACCCCAGTGACTTAAGACTGGTGGGCGGGACTACTCAGTGCAATGCTGCAGAATTAGAAAACAGCTGAGCAGCAAATCGTCCTCACTGCATTATCACATTGCCTCTAGTTAAGACACAGTGTTACTGTATGCCAACTATTGACTCTTTTGCGTCGACTTTTGTGAGACTTTTTAGAGAAACATCTGGTACAAAGTTGAACGCTGACAACCGTACAGTACAACAGCGATCAGCCGCTTTCTGACATTCAGAGGCTATGCCAAGAATGAGGCTCTGCTCCAACAAAGTTTTTATCCCAGAGCACTCCTGCTAAAAATACCCGGCGGTGTTCAGAGAGACGGGCTCGTGGACACTTTGCTCTTGTGCCGCTGATAAGCAGGTGAAGAGGGTTGCGCTGGAGGTGTTTCGCCGGTCGACTGCGCCTCCGCTTCACCTCACACCCAGCCGCTCGATATCAGCGTAAGTGGAGCCTCGTCTGATATAAAGCTGACATACTCCGCTGACGCACTGTCTAACGCAGGCCTGGTCAAGCCTGTGGATCAACACGGATACGAGGGACCCCCATCCTAAAATATAAATGTGACCCTGGAGCACAAAACCTGTCTTGAGGGTCGGAATTTTTCAAATTTGAGATTTATGCATCATCTGAAAGCTGAATAAATAAGCTTTCCATTGATGTATGGTTTGTTAGGATAGGACAATATTTGGCCGAGATACAACTATTTAAAATCTGGAATCTGAGGGTGCAAAAAAAATTTTAATACAGAAAATCGCCTTTAAAGTTGTCCAAATTAAGTTCTTAGCAATGCATATCACTAATCAAAAATTAAGTTTTGATATACTTGCGTTAGGAAATTTACAAAATATCTTCATGGAACATGATCTTTACTTAATATCCTAATGATTTTTAGCATAAAAGAAAAATGGATCATTTTGACCCATACAATGTATTGTTGGCTATTGCTACAAATGTAATACAAAATAAATACACACACATGCATATGTATATATATTTAAGAAAAATATGTTGTTTATATATTAAATATATTTATATATAATATAAATTCTATAAATATATACATCTAAATGCAAGTAAATATTTTCAAAATATATGCTGTATGTGTGTGTATTTATATATACATAATAAATATACAGAGTACACACACATGCATTATGTAAACAAAAACTTTTATTTTGGATGCGATTAATCGTTTGA